CCTTGGAAACTGACGCCATTGGAGCAGACAGTTCCTCCGCTCCGGAGTGAAATCAACTTGCAATCAAGGGCAATCTGAGTCCGAGGTATCAATCTCACCTCGTCTCTGATCATGAGCGCAGGCCTGAGTGTTTACTTCTCAGTCCCTTATCACACATCACAAATGTTGCTCCCAGTTGCGCAGACAAAAGAAAAATTGTATTTCGAGCAGGAGTTGCGTCGCTCGCACGTCCAAAATCGGACACGATCAGGCTGCACAGTCTGCTGCGGATGTCTGGACACATCAATAATAACACTGAGGCCACATCCGTTGTTTCTGCGCTCCCATCCGTCGTTCGGACGCAAAGCGCTGCGTTTCACGGAGGCATATAGGGAGTATTATAATTGGACCAGGAAGTACACACAATAAACGGGACTTTCGGTTCCCATTTCGGTAGTTCCCGGTAATGTTCGGCTGTCCCCAGTGAAACTGCTGGCGTCGGAGGGTGGTGGCGCTCGGTCAAATGTTTTCAATTATGCTCATGTCGGTATGATAACAGCCAGAGTTTCTCCGGATGTACAGCATCATTTCCCAAAAATGTAAATTAGGTCTGCGTCTCTGGCTTGGTAATAATATAAATAGAAAACATATAAATAGAAAACACTCATACTGACTTGCACATAGCATCGTGTCGTGTTTTACATATGAAACATGGTGGGTGTGAAAATTCTGAGCGCATTTTAAAGACAATAAATCACGGTGACTTTTACTTTCCATAATATTTAGTAAACACAACAAAACACATCTTTCAGCTTTTCGTGTGTTTTTAAACGAGGTTTTGCGGAGACGTGGGATGTAAATGTGTGTTGACTTGTTGTTAGGCTATAAATACAAGACACAAAGAGGTTCAGACATTTTTAATAGTGCATGATTGAGGTATATTTTTTAATTTAATGTGATTTCATTTTCAAAAATTGTTGGTTCATTTGTATATTTCATGTATATAATTACTCGATATATTTTTACATTTTAGTATTCAGCATTTTTGGGCTCCACGAGCAATACGTCTGGAAAGAAAATGCAGAGAATATACTATTTCTAATGTGTTTCATCAAAATGAAAACAACATCTATGAAACATTTCCACAAGCTGCCAACCCTGAACTTTTTTTAATTAATGGATTGTGTTTGATAAAATAAAGTTACACTTTTATTAACAATTAATAAAGTAATTAGTTACAGCACACACACAAAAACAGGCAGCCTTATGCCAAAGCACTGCTTGCCATTTATTGAAAACATTTAAACAGGTTCTGCTAACATTTTATGATTTTACAACATGTGTAATAAGACCATTTTCACAAACACATCCATCTCAATTAAAAGGAAAAAAAGAGATGAAATAAATAAATTACCAATGATTTCCACAGAAAGCTTGAACTGCTGGGATCTGCTCGTCCAGCTCCACCAGGAAGCTCTCTTTTTAGTTAACGAGCCCCTGAAGCATCATCTACTGACTGTCCTTGGCTGAAAGCTGTTTTTTAGCCTCCTCCTGCTTTGACTCAGCAGAAGTATTATGTCTGCTACCTTGTCCAGCTGAGTTGCTGAGCCTTTCCCCTGGAGTGTGCTTGTTTTGCAAGCTGTGTTTCAGCTCCTGTCTGGCGCTCAAAACTGCAGCCTGGAGTGCTGCGATCTCAGCAGACAGTTCTATTACTGTAATGACAGAAAACAACAATTAAATTGGTGAGTGGTGGAGCAGCAGAACAGCAGGAGCTTTCTCCTACCTTCAAGAAATATCTTTGCCCATATCCAAATTTACTTATGCAACAGAAGCTGTAGCCATCGTGCTGTGAGTATACACAGGACTCTGGAAACCTCTATTCATATCTAACAAGCTGCACAAAGCAAACCTTGATTCATATGCATATGAGTTAAGGTTTGCATATCTAGAGTCTTGCATTACATGGTAATAGACACAATAATAAAAAAGGCGTTTTATGTGCTGCAGATTATATTGCACGTGTTCTCTTTATGTTTTTCAGTTTTCCTGTGTTTGATTTCTCTGTAGCATATTTTTTTTCCTAAAAGCTATTCATGCATATCGTCAGTTTTGTAGATTTGTTTATTTTTTGTGTTTGTGGTTGTGATCTCTCTAGCTGCATTGTTTTGAGATGGCAATACTGGCACATATGGATCAAATTCAAAGACTGGTTCATCTGATATATGTCCAGAAGTAGTCACATGTTACTCCACATGGTTCCTGTTATACTTCTGTGAAGTCAACCAGCTGGGACACATGTGTAGTATAAGGTAATTTCTCTGCATTCGCACGGACCCTCGTGCTCACCATCCGATCATGAAATTTCCATCTCAGATGACAGCAGACCCTAGCCTATTTGCAGACATTGAAAGTATAATCTCATCCATAGTTGAGGCAGAGTAGGTGTCACCTGAAACCATAACACTAAGATGTCCTTTGGCATGTAACATACCTTGCTTGAAAGATGATTGTGCATGTTTTAGAGACTGTGGCACCAAAACTCCAAACCACTTCAGTGGGTCTTGCTGAGGATTCTGGTCACGTTTTCCAGCTGGAGCTTTCTCGCTACCAGTGCTCTCGCTTTCCTCTTTTTCTCCAATCTCTCTTTTTGGTCTGTTTCTTCTCCTGACACCTTGTAAATCAAATAGTGTCATCAATAACAGAGTTAATAGTAGACATCAACGACACACATCTTTAATACTGCATCACCTTCTTCTTGAGGTCCTATATCCTCTATAGCTCTCTGATCTTTTCCAGACTCTTTACGACACGTTTGTGTACATCTTTCAGTGGTGAATTCCACCTCACCATTGTCCAGTGTCCTGTTACATACAAATATACGTTTTAAAAGAGCCTTTTAAACAAATTAAAGTGATCAACAGACTTTTCGTTTTTCATAAAAATTACTGCTTCCTCACCTAGTTTGAACACAGACTAGTGGCTCAATCTCACTTGCATACTGAAGTGCAGAGACTTGTTTGTTTCCCATCGTATATCGTGCCTTGCTCATAGAAAACCACCCCTGAGGGGAAAATGGTAAAGTCAAATTATACAGGCAGAATGTAAAAAAAGAGCATTTTTATTACAAACCTTTTTTGCGTAAATTTATTTTTGAAAATCCTTATATGGCTTTTTATGGAATTTAAACACAGTCAACATAGCCCTAAAGTCTGTTAATATACCACACTAAGATATTTCCCATTATATAACACCTACAGCCCAAAATGCCATATACATTTTGATTTATTTTCTATATTTTTACCTACAGATTCTTAGGGAGCAAAAATTGAACTTAAATGTCTGATGTTGGCTATTTATCAACAAGGACACTACAGGTACCTGCTCTATGAGAGAGTTGAAAGTGGCTCGCTTCTCCTCCAGTAACTCCAGCTGCTCCATGAAACGAAGCAGCTTTTCGTCCAGTAACAAAGAAGATTCCTCTGATTCTGACACACCCATACTCACTCTCTGCGCCAATTTAAGCCTCCTTCGCGGGTAGTCTTTACCGCTATTTTGATGTACAACGTTTGAGTAAACCGAACAGAATCTGTTGAGTGCTTCCGTGTACCGTCACGTGACACGTAACCACGTGGTATACATCACGTGTTCATATATCAAACGTACAGAAAATACTAATACCAAACATATCGCTAATACACTTTGTGAAGTGTGACTTTGAATCATTTATGAGTCCTGGAATCCTATGTACTGTTATGGACTCGAAGAAACGCTGTACGAAAGCAATAATATTGAGATATTGTTAAGATTACCCTTCCCATAATTTTTTGTTGCTGTTTTACAGTAACTGACTTTCTAAGTCATTAAGTAAATTGTCGAATCTCATTAAAGTATGAATACAAAACATTTTGTTCCAAATTTGATAAAACCATAAAACCAACATAAAAAAAAAAACGAAGTTCCCATACCGGGAGTCGAACCCGGGCCGCCTGGGTGAAAACCAGGAATCCTAACCGCTAGACCATATGGGAGCAATAACGGCCCTCACTACATATCTATAGATGAAGGATATATATGGAACTGTGACTTATTTGTACATATATTTAGTATTTAAGTGACATTTAATATTTACTACTGTTCCTCCTTTTTGTAGCTTTGACAGGTACCATCTGAAGAACTGATTAAAAAAACAGCTTAAAAAAACTTCAGCTAAGATGAAAACGACTCTCAGTATTAAAAAAGAAACTATTTATGCAGGACTCACATTAGAATATTAATTAATTAAACTATTTTTAACGGAAAGCAGATCCGCACACGGTCACAACGTCACTTTAAACAGCAGTCGTCTGCCGCGAGACGTCAAACCACTCTTCGACGACGCAGCTCACACAGTTACATATACGCTTCTGCTTCACTGTTGAGCATGTCTCCCAGTAGCGCGCCGTGATCGTATAGTGGTTAGTACTCTGCGTTGTGGCCGCAGCAACCCCGGTTCGAATCCGGGTCACGGCAGGGATAAAACCCTGGCACGGCTTGGGACGACTCTTTTCTTACTATGCCGTAAAGAGCAAATTTTGTTTCGTATACTTTAAAGTAAAAATGTAAGGTTTTTAGGGTAATTACAAGTCTTTCCTTTAACCTATTTAGACCAAATGATCATCGGAAATCACATGGGTGCACTCCACGTTAGGTTTGTATATTTAAGAGGGCTTTACTTCAGCTACATTTTGTTTCTCGTCATTTTCAGTCCATGCGAGTGAAAGGTTAACTGTAAATATTTCCTTACTAAATCATTATCAGATGGAGCATCTTCCGATTGAAGGCCATTTTCTACCCTACCCTAAAACATTGTATGACTTTCGCCTTGAAAAAGAGGGCTGATCCCTTTTCATTGGTAGATGTCATAGACAACGTCCATGTTCCGAGAGGAAGAGCCAATCAGTGAGCCAGTAGATCTCATGTGCAATAGCTCTATGCTTAAAGATGTTTGATTGGCTGTTGTGATCCACGGGTAACGTCCCCCAGGCACGGAGTTCCTCGTTTGAGTTTATGTGCGCGGGTATGTTAGATAGCAGTGAATCTTTGACCTGCTGTGTGTTAGGTCAAATTACCTGTGGAGCTGAACACCCATTTGGTGGCATCTACGGTAAGGATAAAAGCACACCGATGAACTTCTCACATAAAACGCTACACTTTTAACTCTGTGAATTAACTAGAACAGAATGTAATATAATGTAATACAGAGAATGTTTAACTCTACACTTTTAAGTCTAGTGCTGATTATGTTTCTGTATTCAAACAGATAATGGACTCCTCTGAAGCATCTCATCACCCTTACTGGCCTCGGGACCTTTCAATTCCCACTTATGTGGCCAACGATCGGTCGATGTCAGAGATTCTGGTGTTTCTGTTTTCTGTGTCTGGGCTGTTTATGCTGGTGACCTGGCTGATCACCGGCCAGGCCACCAGCAGCCTGGGCGCATGGAGGCGCCTGGCTGTGTGCTGGTTTGCTGTTTGTGGCTTCATCCATTGTGTAATCGAGGGCTGGTTCTCGCTATATTATGATATAATTCCAGGAGATCAGCGCTTTCTGTCACAGCTGTGTGAGTACTAACGGAGAACATGTGTTTAGAAAAATGCATAACCTACCTGTCGTGTGTGCGTGTGTGTGCGTGTGTGTAAAATCTGGTCAATGTGTTTTATGTTTTTCTCTCACAGGGAAAGAGTACTGCAAGGGAGACAGTCGATATGCAATGTAAGCTCATTTCTGCTCTCAATTTTGTGCATAAAAATGATTTTAAAAAGTTGCGATTGATGTTTCTTTTCTCTCTAGTGCTGATAACTTTACTGTTTGTATGGAGACTGTGACTGCTTGGTTGTGGGGTCCATTCAGCTTTTGGGCTGTTTATGCCTTTTTAACCAATAAGCCCTACAGATTTCTCCTGCAGCTCATCATTTCAGTAGGTAAGACGGGACAGAAGCTATCTTCATGCCAACCTCAGGTGGAAATAAATTGTTGCTTAATTGTAGCTTTATTTTGTCTTCTCACGTAATCTGACTCAGGCCAGGCATATGGAGCGGTACTCTACTTCTTCACAGAGCACAGAGATGGCTACGCCCACAGCGAGCTGGGACATCCAATCTACTTCTGGTTCTACTTTGTGTTTATGAACACCCTGTGGATTGTCATACCGCTGGCGCTCATTTTGGATGCATGGAAACATCTGTCAGCAGCCCAGAGGCAAACGGACAGCACAAAGTCTCAGAAGAATAAGAAGAACTGAGTGTGTGCGTGTATGGGAGGGGGGGCATTTAATACTGCAACATTACATCTCTGTCATTATGAGACTTTGCTGACATTCATATTGATAAAGTAATAGTTCCTTGATTTTTTTCTTTTTTTTTACTTGGCAACTTCTTTTCTGAGAAGAGCAAAATAAGCGTGAGTGTGCTGGGTGAGTGGGGTCCTTCATGATACAGGTGTCCCTGTAGAGCTCAGTCCAAGAGTCAGTCATTTATCAACAAGTGTCTGTAGGATCATTGTGTTGAAAGCAGATGAGAAGTCCACGAAGAGCATACGGATGTAGGAATGTTTCTGCTCTATGAGGGTGAGGGTGGTGTGAACCACAGAAGAAGAAGAGATTTCACATGAACCAAAAATTACCAGTATGGAAATTATTAGCCTGCTCTGATGCTAACAGTGAACTGTGTATCCTTTTTGCTGGAGTCATTTCTTGTAGCCATCCCAACCTCCTTCATATTTGATCGATTTGCAGTTTACAGTGTATTAGCTGGAGGAGTTGTACAGGGAGATGGCCACGGACAGGAATCATTTCCTGTGTGGTTCAGTGGTGCTTTTTGGTAATCTCAGTCTCTCAATGAACATGCTCCTGTGACCAGCCAGCATGTCATGGACTGCGTGGGAGGTATCCAGCATTGTCTTTATCTTGGAGAGCATCCATCTGAGCTCCATCCACACAAATTACTCTCCATGCAGATCAGTCAACCTGCTGCCCAGCACTTGGAAACGCAGTGAACACTTTGTAAGCATCAACGATTGCTTTTCTCACATTTAAACCGATGCTTTCTCAAGTGGCAGCTCAAAACCTTGCTTAGGTTTTTATAACGTATGTAAACTGGAAGATAACCCTCAGTTTTAACTTGATTTTACAAGCTTTGACGTTAACAAAGTTAAAACACATCATTGCTCAGCAGTGGTTTGTGTTGTGGCTAGATGGGTAAAATAGTTGATCCCAGTATTTTTTTTACCCTGAAATAATTATCTTTCTTAATGTAATTAGTATGTTTAGAAATGCTATTGTGGAGGTAAACACAGACGACACGAGAGCTCTCGATTCTAACTCCTGCTTTATTCCTCATCACAACAGAACTGACTACGTTTCGCTCCAAAACACAGCAACAGACTTTCTTTACACTGGGTGTGAGTGGAGCCCTCTAGTGGTCCACCACACAATGTCTTTGCGAACATTTTGACAAAAACTTTAAATTTCTAATTTTTTCACATGGAATTGTCTGTATTATTTCTTTGTCACGTGGCCAACATTATAGACTTTAGTGGATAAGATAAGATAAGATAACCTTTATTAGTCCCACACGTGGGAAATTTGTTTTGTCACAGCAGGAAGTGGACAGTGCAAAAGTTAGAATACAATAAGAATAAATACAGTACACAGCTGTACAGAATAGAATAAAATAATATACTATATACAGTAGAATAAAATAGAATAAAAATATACAATAAGATAAAAATAGAATACGAATGCTATATACAACTGAGTAAAAATACAACGATGCCAGAAAAGATTATTGCACTTAGTGTTATTGCACATGTGTGGATGTGTGTGTTTGTTCAGTTAAAGTCTTTGTTGTGGAGTCTGACAGCAGTGGGGAGGAAAGACCTGCGAAATCTCTCCGTCCCACACCGTGGGTGCCGCAGTCTCCCACTGAAGGAGCTGCTCAGTGCTGTCACAGTCTGCTGCATGGGGTGGGAGATGTTGTCCAACAGTGATGACAGCTTAGCCGCCGTTCTCCTGTCACTCACCACCTCCACTGGGTCCAGAGGGCATCCCAGAACAGAGCTGGCCCTTCGGATCACCCTGTTCAGTGATTACGGATTACACCATTTCCAGCTCATAATTAACATTTGGGGCTTATGCACGTTTGAACCAAACTGACTTCACATGTGACTGCAGCGATTTACTTATTTAAAGGCATTCGCCTCTGAACTCGGAAGATAATTAAAACCAAGCTGAAATAAGTCCACGTTCTACTTAACGAGAATGCATAATGTAGGTTTGAGTATATTCACGTGGGTGAAACGGAACCATACAACTGAGGGGCTAAATCACGTCACGTATTAAACTCGACGAGTTAAGACAGGCTAAGCTCTTCTCAAACTAATCACGCATCAGGAATGAAAACATCTTTTTTTGCCTTGTAGCCAATTTAAAAGTTTGTAGACCCTGGTAACCTTCAACACCGTGTGCCGAAATAGCTCAGTTGGGAGAGCGTTAGACTGAAGATCTAAAGGTCCCTGGTTCGATCCCGGGTTTCGGCATTTTGATGCAACCGTGTATTTGGGTGTGTCGGCTTTCCACCCGGCGGGGAGTAAAACGTACAAGAACGTTTTACCGTTTTAACCCTTCACACACGGTTTGTGTCAAATGTGACCTAATTTTACATTTGACAGCAGTAAAAATACCTTAAAAATGTGAATCTATTAGCCTGAAATGTGCTGCAAACTGTGTCGAGGCTGTTTAGGGTCAAATTCAAATTTTATTTGTCACGTACACAGTCATACACAGTACGATATGTAGTGAAATGCTTGGACAACTGCTCGTGACCTAAAGAAAACAAAAAAAGGAAAGGCTATGAATAAGATAGGAAATAAATATGAAAAATTAAAAAGGGTAAATTTAACTAGGAAGGAATAAAATATAAATTAAGGTTAAAAATGAAATAACTGTACAACACAAATTAGAATGAAGGGTAAATTTAACTGGGAAGAATAAGATAAAGATAAATATATAAATTAAAGTTGAAAATAAAATAACTGTACAACAAAATACACAATATAGAACTATATAAGAATGTATAAAGAAATATAAATAAATATATATATACACACACACAATAACAGCAGCTGTACAAGTATTAACCGGAAATGAAGAATGTAGTGACCAGTGTTGTGCAATCCACAGTCTTGTCAAAGTTCACACGGAAGTTTTTCTCAGTGTTGCCAACTCCTCAGTAAGGAAAATCGCTATTGGCTGTCCTAAAAGTCGCTAGAAGTCGCTAAATGACGTCATCGCCTAATTTGCATAATGGGTCATGCTAATATAACTGTTGGAGAGAGAAATAACATCGTGGAAGAGACATAAAGTGAGCAAAAAACGTATTAAATGCAGTTAGAATTTATTTATAACTACAAATTAAATTTATTTTAGCAATTATTGTTTTTTAATGTCACAATTCCAACCCTGCTCCTTTACCCGGGCTTGGACCACCGCGGTAAAGTGAGCCGTCATTTGTGAGCCGCGGTCAAGCCAGCCGTCTCCTATCCGCCGCATAAATTTCCTTGCGCTTTTACACCAGTCTTTACGGTAGCGCCTTTTCGCTTTATGTGCCGATTGAAAGCCTATACCCGCGCACACGTGCACTCGCGCGAACAGTCGCACGCACATGCGCGCACACAAATTACAATGAAACAGCCCGATACAGTCAATACAATTATGGAAATGTCAGAAATTCATTAAAAATCATCCTGAGTAGTTGAGGTGCAACTTTCAACACATTCCTCCTCCGGGACACCTACTGTACCTGTGTGCCAGGTTTCAGCCAGATTCACTGTAAAATTCCTCAAAAATCAAAGGGTACTTGTATTCAATGCAATACAGCCAATACACTACAATTATGGAAATTTCAGAAATTCATTAAAAATCATCCTGAGTAGTTGAGGTCCAACTTTCAAATTCAAATTCAAATTCAAATTTTATTTGTCACGTACACAGTCATACACAGTACGATATGTAGTGAAATGCTTGGACAACTGCTCGTGACCTAAAAAAAAAAGGAAAAGGCTATGAATAAGATAGGAAATAAATATGAAAAATTAAAAAGGGTAAATTTAACTAGGAAGGAATAAAATATAAATTAAGGTTAAAAATGAAATAACTGTACAACACAAATTAGAATGAAGGGTAAATTTAACTGGGAAAGAATAAGATAAAATATATAAATTAAAGTTGAAAATAAAATAACTGTACAACAAAATACACAATATAGAACTATATAAGAATGTATGAAGAAATCTAAATATAAATAAATATATACACAATAACAGCAGCGTGATTTAAGTAATGAAGTGAAAACAATGTCCAGAAAGTCCAGTGTGTGTGTAAGAACCATATGTGTGGGTCAGGACTGTGTGGTGGTGTGATTGAGAGACCGTATCGCCTGCGGGAAGAAGCTCCTCCTCAGTCTCTCTGTGTTGGTCTTCAGGGAGCGGAATCGCTTTCCTGACCTCAGCAGAGAGAACAGTCTGTTGTTGGGATGGCTGAGGTCCTTCACCATCTTCCTGGCCTTGGTCCGGCACCGCCTGCTGTAGATTGAGTGCAGGTCAGGGAGCTCGGAGCGGATGGTGCGCTCAGCTGACCGCACAACCCTCTGTAGAGCTCGTCTGTCCTGCATGGTGCTGTTCCCGAACCAGGTTAAGATGTTTCCCGCCAGGATGCTCTCTATGGTGCACGAGTAAAAGTTCCTGAGCACCTTGGAGGGCAGTTGGAAGTCTCTCAAGCGTCTGAGGTGGTAGAGACGCTGTCGGGCCTTTTTCACCACGGTGTTGATGTGACAGGACCATGACAGGTCCTGTGTGATGTGAACTCCGAGGTATTTGAAGCTGTCCACTCTCTCCACTGGGCACTCGTTGATGACGGGGGTCTGGTAGTTCCTCTCCTGCTTAGTGCTGAAGTCCACTATCAGCTCCTTTGTCTTACTGACGTTTAGAAGGAGGTTGTTCCTCTGGCACCAGTTCTCCAGATTCCTAATCTCCTTCAGGTAGGCCGTCTCGTTGTTATCAGAGATCAGGCCCACCACGACGGTGTCGTCAGCAAACTTGATGATGGTGGTGGAGCTGGTAGTGGCCACACAGTCATATGTGTACAAAGAGTACAGCAGGGGGCTCAGAACACACCCCTCCTCTGGGACACCTACTGTACCTGTGTGCCAAGTTTCAGCCAGATGTACTGTAGAATTCCTCAAAAATTAAAGGACATTTATATGCAATTCAATACAGCCAATACACTACAATTATGGAAATGTCAGAAATTCATTAAAAATCATCCTGAGTAGTTGAGGTCCAACTTTCAACACATCCCTCCTCCGGGAAACCTGCTGTACGTCTGGGCCAAGTTTCAGCTCTGGCCCCAGATGTCAGCCTAATGTGTACCTTAGCCATGTAAGCCATGTAATAAACAACATGTGCTGGAACATAATAGTGCAAAAGTAACATGACGAAACTCTGTTCAGACAGTGAATGGACTGATTCTTATACAGCGCTTTTTTACTCACCCATATTACTCAAAGTGCTCTATACAACATGTCACATTCACCCAATCAGGCCAAATGTGGCATGCCATCACATAAACAGTGCCATCTTACCATGCCAGAAGTCAGCCAGCAGTGCCGGCTTGACACCAGATCCAGGCAAGACCCGTCTGCTATGTGGGATGACTTGTTCTTTTGGCATTTTAGTTGTGGATTATGTTTGGACTGTGTCTCTTGCCCTTTCAGTATTGTTTCCTTGTGCTTCTAAGTGTCCCTTTGTTTCTTTTTAGGTTATGTAGTATGGGTTAGAGCTATTTTGTATGTTGTTTTTGTTTAATAAATCTGCCTTTTGGATTATTCCCTGATGTGCCTGAGTTCTGTTATTTAGTGTCACTTTGAAAGGACACACATCCAGCATTGACATATAATTGTTCTTTCAATTTTTGATAAAGATTACAGTGAATTGAGATGTAACTTGGCCCAGAGGTACGGTAGGACGCCCAGAGTAAGAAAGTGTTGAAAGTTGGACCTCAACTATTATGGATGATTTTTAATGAATTTTTGAAATTTCCATAATTGTAGTGTATTGGC